CCTAACAAACCATACATCAATGGAAAGCTTATTTATTCATATTTCAGATGATGCATACATCTCAATTTAGAAAAATTGACCCTTATCACTGGTTTTGTGCTCCAGGGTCACATATGACATCTAAACAAAACTTTCTGCAATGTATCATAAAAATGGCTGTATAGTAGTGGTACAAAATGTATTGACTACAAGGGAATCGTCCAATTTGATAATCAATGTTTGACTAATTCGTCTGAATCAATTGAGATGCAAGCAAACCTTCAAAGTAAATGTCTTTTTTCTTTTACCTAAGGCTGCTTTAATACACCAATAACCTCATTTTAAAACCTGAAAATTCATTACTTTCACATGTGCAAACTGTGTGTGTTTCTAAAACGCCGTCGTGTCATGTGACGACTGAACTGTAAATAAGCATCAGATGTCACTGTGTACATTTACACAGACTCAACACGGCTTTAACTTACAGGAAATCTGATATGTGACCCGTGCAAACTACATTTACAGGCTTTAAAAAAACACAGAGGCTAAAATAGACTTAAGCTCGGTTAATTGCTAATACAATTATCCTGACACGAAGGGCGCAGATGCAGAGCCTTTATTATATCGTCTCAGTTCGAGGTTTGTTTGCATTACGTTTGAACACTTGAACTTGATGTTTTGGACCTTATTTAGGCTGGATCCCATAATTAATTTGATGAAAATGAGGCTGTGAGGGCAAATTGAAAGTCGGAATAATACATTGAGGCTTCTTAATAAACAACACTGAATTTCTGGGTTAATTTGAAATGCATTTGACAATTCGTCAAGAATGATTTTAGAAATGATTTACTTGATTTAACCATTGAACAGATCAAATAGTCCTTACACTGGGGGGAAAAAAAGATTAGAAAAAATGTAGCTCAGAAATTGCTAGAAAATTCAACAAAAATATTACAAAAAAAAGGCAAGTAACATTGAATTAAATGTGACTTTTTTCTTATAAAATGCACTTTATTGGCAACTTTGAAAAATGCAATTTTAATTTAATTATGGCATCCATTGGCAAAAACTTAAATAAATATAACCACCCTAATTTGGGTTTTAACAGAATTAAAGACATTTGCATGGAAGAAAACACTAGATGTTTCATGTAATTAACATTTCTATCCATAAAATCACATTTACTGTTGAAGTAGAAAGCGTCTGTTTTTCACTCCCAGGTTGAACAAAGTCAACATGAAATCAGTGTTTCTGGTTTTGTGAATGATTCATCCGTGACGTTATTATAAAAAACAAACATTTATTTCAATAATCATTCGAAATACTTTCCTTTAATGCTGGTATGACCAATTTAACCATCCAATCATTGTGTTTTACTCACGTTACAGAAGTAAAATGGGTTGCAGATGCAGTTTCATGTTGACTTGAAGCGAAACAAAATGCCTTGAAATGGAAACAGAGGAGCGAGTTATTTCTGGGCTTAATTAGCAACATCTGGACTGTGTGTGATGAACTGCCTTTGGTCAAACTCTATTTGCACAGGAGAGGAGCCATACATTTCTCTGAAGGTTTTGCGTTGGTGTTTGTGAGATGTGCTCAAGCTGTGCTTCTTGACGTGATGTTTTCGGACGGCTGTTCAGCTCACTTCTCTCTCCTCATCCAACAAAGCCAAAGAGTCGTTCTGATTACTGCAGAACGAGTCGTGATGCTCAGAATAAAGCACGCGGGCTCCGTTTCAAACCCTAGGCAGCTGCCTACTTAGGGTGACTCTGAACTCTCTACTTACTGTAACTCGAATAATGTGGGTTGTACAAAAACAGGAGACTTCAATAATACATTAGATTTGA